CGGTCGGTAACCGGCATGTTTATGCCATAGGGCGTTCCTTGTGAAGTTCCTCAGCAAGCCAATTGCTTTGTTTGATGAACTCGTTCTGCATCCAACCGGTCGGGAGAGGCCCCTTTACCTCCTGATCTATTCTGTCCTGTCCCAACTGGCACTGCTGAATTTGGGCCAACGATCTCTGGTTATCTCCGAAGGTGTGGACCTGTTGATCGTCGCCTTGAATGCGCACTCCAGTGCTTTCAACATAGTTCAACCCATCCTCAGGTCCTGATGATCCATTGGTCGACATGAACCAGGAAGCCCCAGAAGATGAGCAGCAGCAGGAGTCCAGAAATGTGGAGCATGGTGAGTGGCGCCTGCATGCATTATGTGCACTGGCTAGGGTGTGTGTCGGAAACCAGTGCACAAGCATTGATGACACATTGTTACAATGTACCTTGTGTTTGGTTGCCAGGTGCATCATTTTTGGGCGGGGCCCCAGCGCGAAGCGCCCAGGGGGGCCCCCACCTGTAGGATTGCCCATGTCCGTGTGTGTGTAACGGACCAAACATAATATCTCGCCCGGCTGAAACGCGTTATAGGTACTATACAGCATTCTCTATTGCAAGGTATCTCGCATGTAGCTAACAAAGATCGTATGAGCACAAACAAGTTTAGCTGCCTCCATTCACCGACCTCAAAAGTCACATCAACGCCTCTCGCGCTAAATTTCATCTCAAAAAGGTGCCGTGTATCTCATCATTGATTTCCGAGATGACAGTGTTTGATAACGGGCTTTCAGGACTTTCAACTTCATATCCTCACTGTTGGCCAAGTGTAGTAGCTGGCCGCTGAAAAGGCCTCTCAAGATGCTGGTGGTCGCGCTTAGCGCGTATTTGTAGTTGTTATGTGTGCCGTACTGTGTACCGGCTACTACACCAAGTACACCAGCATGGCTTCATGTGAGCGTGAGCTCCCATGGGCCTGAAACAGATGCTCGCTGACACCTGCGCTGCTGCCACCGCTACACCTCCTGAGCAAAGGCTGTGCAGCCCGATTAGGCAGAAGCTGCAGCAGAAACCTGTCGGTTCTGACGCTATGCACTCCTGCAACTTACTCCAGCCTTGTACAGTCCAGCCATCCCTATGGCAGTCCGGAGACGTGTAACTCGTCAGGCTCGGTAGCTACGGGGCAGTTGTCTGGACAGGTTACTCGCCAGCTAGAAGCTTGATAAATGTGCAACCTTGAAAGTGCCATAATTAGGCACAGATATGCGCGCTGAGTGTGTGAAATGTTATGACGAGGTTAGTTAACATGTTTGCCATCAAATATGAGTGTAGGGAGGCATTATTTGTCCTTATGATTTGCTCTCTACCTACGGCCATTTGGCAGTCCAGAGACGTGTAGCGCCCAAGGCTCAGCAGCTACGGGACAGTGGTCTGGACGAGGTTATTTTTGACGTGCAGCCCCGAAAGCACATTGGGAAGCATGAATATAACTGGTGAATGCATCATCAGTGAGGTTTAGGTTAGTTTAGGTGTTTGCCACCATCGGAGCACCTGTATTGGTGCTCCGATGTAACATGACCATTGGTAGTCATGGTCATGGCCCAAAGGAACGCCAATTGTTCAAGCACAAAGTAGAATATAGTTCATGAACAAATAAGTACATAGGCAAGGTTACCCGAGGCCGACGCCGATCGACATGGTCGACCAGGTCCGCCAACGTAGTGGGTCCATGCCACAATATCCGAAAGTCGGCTGAAATCATTTATAACCGTGTCAGGTTTACTGAATAGAATTACGACCGACGAGGTTTCCATGCCATTGGCTGACATAACCGCTCATGTACGGCTTTGGCTATTATGGCTTCAATGTCCTCTCCATCGAAAAAATATCTTCATTACGAAAGACCAAAGCATGTAGCCATAACTCCCAACTCAGTCGAGCACGATATGGGCCAAGTATTGTTGCTAATCGGAACCGCTTCAAGTGAGAAGGAATTCGGAACAGCTTCCATTGGGATAAGGGATTTGTGTTATATTTTAGTATGCCTTGTAGCAACGTTAAAATAGAACTCACCGCCACTCACCGTCGCTGAACTAGCTTTAGTTATCCTTGGCTGACGTCCAGCCGGGAATGGAGGCGGGTGGCCACCGTGAGGAGGAATTGGGCTCGCTTGGAGAGGTAAGATGGGAGGGAGGGTCGGGGCTGTTATATGTTTTATGTGGGGCATCAAAACACTGTCGTACTCCGATATGGCTATCGGAGTACGGCAGATTTGTTTGATGTAGGCAGGTAGTTGTGGGGCACAGCTGTGCCAGGGTTGTTTTTCTTTGTGGATTCGTTACCCGTTGCCCTCTTTCTTGTTCCTGATGCTATGGAGGGTGGCTGGGGCTGGTTGGGGGAGGGGGGCGTGTGTGTTTCGCTGCCGTCGTCGACGTGCCTGCCCTAATTGTCATGTTCCCATCCATGTCCTGCACGTGCCGCAGGCCTCGGAAGATGGGGCCGACGTCCGGCCGGGAATGGAGGTAAGATGGGAGGGAGGCTGGGGGCTCTTATGTGTTTTACGTGGGGCATCAAAACGCTGTCGTACTCCGATATGGCTATCGGAGTACGGCAGATTTGTTTGATGTAGGCAGGTAGTTGTGGGGCACAGCTGTGCCAGGGTTGTTTTCCTTTGTGGATTCGTTACCCGTTGCCCTCTTTCTTGTTCCTGATGCTATGGAGGGTGGCTGGGGCTGGTTGGGGGAGGGGGGCGTGTGTGTTTCGCTGCCGTCATCGACGTGCCTGCCCTAATTGTCATGTTCCCATCCATGTCCTGCACGTGCCGCAGGCCTCGGAAGATGGGGCCGACGTCCGGCCGGGAATGGAGGTAAGATGGGAGGGAGGCTGGGGGCTCTTATGTATTTTACATGGGGCATCAAAACGCTGTCGTACTCCGATATGGCTATCGGAGTACGGCAGATTTGTTTGATGTAGGCAGGTGGTGGTGGGGCACAGCTGTGTGCATGTGCAGCCAACCTCGGATAGTGGGGCTGCAGCCGAAGTTATATATTAGGAGGGTGGTGACAGGGAGGGGGAATGGTTTCACTCAGGGAGGTGAGATGGAAGGGAGGGTTGGGGCTCCAGGTTTTGTATCCTGTAAGCTTACTGTTAAGCTCTAGGCTCTGTTGCCTGACTGTCAGATATGTCCACCCTACTGCCGCACTGCTGCAGAAGTCCATACTGGCGTCTGGGCAGGGGCTTTACCTGTCTAAAGCTGGAACCTGCCTTCCTGGATGTCTGCTTCTCAAGGCGAGAGTAGTTCCTGCAAACTATGGTCAACATCACACCACCCAGCCGTACAGGAACTTATGGGCATGAGGCCCCAGTGGATTCTAGAATGATTATTATTCAATCCACTTGCCTCAACCGGTATCTTTCGATACCA